ACATTAAAAAAAAAAAAAAAAAAAAAAAAGAAGAAGAAGCAAGAAAAATAAAAGCAATACAAGAAGTTCCATTTCAGTGATATCGTATCCATTTCGCAATCTCGTCAGCTCGTACGTCAACCAGAGCGACGTATCGCGGTTCTGAAGAGTGACTGCTACGTCATCGCGGTTCTTTAGGGACGAGCGTCGTGCTACGTAATGCAAGGATACCACTAGCATCTCCACTAGGTTGGCTGGTTATTTAGGATAGAAAGAGTGAACGCCACTGGTAGAGAGTCGTATACAGGTAGCATACGTATATACCGTAAAGCCAGACATAACAAAGACCAGTGAGTTTGGGGAATAAGTGGAGCCTGCACGATGTATGTATAATCAAAGGTGCGGAAGAGGGTAAGAAAGAGAAAATGACATAAATAAGAGAGAGGGGGTCTGTGAGAAATGATTGCGCGATGATTCGAGAGAGAATGATTACTCGTAATCAGTCCAAGAACGACAAATCGAAGGCTGAACAATGTTACGTAATCTGCAGATGACGTTTAACCAGGTAGGTTATCAGTTTTACTTGCGATCCTACATGGAGTATAAGCGAGGTCAACGTAAAAGGGGGAAAGAGTGAATGAAGAGGGATCAACGGAAATCAAAGGAAGGAGAAATGTCCAAACGAACGAAAGATACACGCGCGCGTCCTGCCCACTTTTAATGAATGAGATCCTGGCTTACCTGTTATCAGAGCAAAAACGAAGGTAACTCCTAGCCACAGGTGGCGATTCATTCCGATCCTTGGTAATCTTCCGATCTTAAATACCCAATGACAGTTCCACCACAGTCAATCACCTTCCACTCGCGTAAGATTCCACGTGATGGTCGATTGGATTTAAAAAAAGTATCACTTCTCAGGCACGAGATAAAAAGCAGTCATTCGCACCTCTCAACCGGTGTAACGATGTATCGAACAAAGAATCAACGAGACACTGTTAAAGGTTCGTCGAATAAAACGTCATGATTGGTCGACACCATAAAAAAATGAAGATTATTCCCGTGGGCGAGTATTCGCACTGTAATCTTAAGGTCCGATCTTTTGCTCGTCTCTCCCAAAGAAGTCAACGTCTTCCGAAGCTCCGTGGCGAGCAGGAGCAGCGTGACCGTCCGAACGTTGCCAGGCGACTGTCAAGTTCCCTCGTTGGTGTCTCCTTCCCGGCGTACAAGATAATCACGGGAAGCGCAAAGCGCTGATTCAAATGTTCCCCCGAAGATCCTTCAGCAGGGTGTATGGAGATCGGTACGACGAGCGGTGCGTAAACACGATTGGATTGTTCCACGTGGATTTTGACCGTTAATCCTCCGAGGATTAGACGGAAGATATTGATCACGGCGAGCCGAGCGGCATGGATGAAGGGATTTTAAGCACTGTTGACAGGGTAATTGCACGTATATCTGCACTGGATTGCGACAGGCGAGACTGAGCGTCGCCGCGCGAAGCTGTGCTGTCGTGGCTCGCGCATGCGCCACCCTCTCGATGCTCCCCCACCCCGGGGGATCCCCTACTGCGTCCACTTCGCCCCGAGCCACCTCTGGCCCTGAGGTCGACTTGCTCCTCACGCATCATCCAGGCCGCACGATCTTATTCTACACCTCCGCCAAGAGCCGGTACTGGATTCAATTTACTACGAAAACTTTTTCTTGAATAAGGTTTGTTACGTATCATCATTCATCCGCATTAGAGCCATTGTCGAGGGGAGACTAGCCGCGGTCGCGGAGGCGTTTCCGTTTCTCTTTCTTCGAGTGCGTCCTTCCTCTTTGGATTCTGAATCTCGAAGGAAATATTGCGAGATTTTCTCTCTCTCTCTCTCTCTCTCTCTCTCTCTCTCTCTCTCTCTCTCCGTCTCCGTATCGCTTCTTCTCTTCCTCTTCGTTATTTACGTCGCTCCCTGGCGTCGGCGTTGTCGTCGATCTTGGCGTCTCTACCTATTCCGCGCTGCTTCCTGTTCAAATTGAGCCATTCAGTCGCTCCTGCGATTGGCCAGAAGCTGAGTCTTCGTAAAATCGACGTTACTTGATATTCCTCCCAATGTCCCTACGATCTTATGGTATTCTGGATGCACTGGTCAGTGATCGCTTTATGGCATCGTACAACCGACTTTATCCTTCTTCATCACCCACCTCGGCCAATCCTTACGGAAGGAAGTACCAGCGAGGATCTCCCTGAAATATCGCAGAGACATCATTCCTTACTACCACGTCGTTTATTCGTATCGCCGTCCGACATATTCTCTTGGTGTATAAAACTTAAACTAGAACTGTCGACCCTGCTGGCGCAAAGTGGTACCGAATCTTCGCCAGACGGCAGGAAGGACTGGGAAGCTGTAAGATGGTGCTTTAATAGGATAGGTCGAGCCATGAGAACGGATACGGTGAGAACTGAGAGAAAGAGACAACTAGGGTCTAGGTAGATAGGGAATGAGGCGAGCGGAGGGGGAAGGGGTGGGAGGAGGGCTAGGAGGTAACTCAGCAGAGAAGAAACGAGGAAAAGCAGAGTAAGGCAGCAATAGGGAGGAAAGGAAAAGAAGAAAAAAGAAAAAGAGAATAAAGTAAAGAGACTGGACGGTTTTTGGTCCAGCGCTCTTCCTCCCTCGTCTTCGGAACCGGAAGTACGCCGTGCGAGGAAGGGACCGGCTGAATTATCACGTGGACCTATTTCTTGTTTCTATACTCGTTCTTTGGCCGCAGTACACCTATCCCCATTCGGTGTCCCGAGCGGCCTCAGGAAAATATATGCGCATGGAGATGCCATTGTGATATGTTGTGAAAATGACGATATACATACATCGGACGTAATGGGGTTGAAAAAAAAAGGGGAGGACGTTTTCCAAGGAATAATACAGACGCTTAAAGTTTTTAGACATTTCGGCGCTGCACTTTCTTCGCGGTCTCTAACTATATTTACTTGTGTTTTCCTAATGGGGTGCTGCCGCGGATGAAAATATAGATACTTCCTAGCGGCGGAGGGCTCTTGGAAATACCGACGAGACGTCCTTTGTTACCGCCCTGTTATTTATGCGAATGCGTATGTATTTTGCTGTTTTCCTCTGCCAAAAAGAAGCGCCCTGATGTTCTACGATATACGTAATCCTTAGATCTGTTTTATATATACGTATCATATGAGATATATATATATATATATATATCCATGAGATTTTACGAACGCCAATCGTCTTACCGAGAACTTTCTTGTAAAATCGTAAACCAACGTCGTTTAATAGAAAAATAATCTTAGCCCTTGGATGGGCACCGAGTGTAAACATGATGAAATACTGGGTGGAACGAGACTTGAGGATCTCTCACACTTTTCCAAAGCACGTGCCTCCCCGTAGTGTCATCATACAAATTTTATACGTATCATAAGCACGATACACAGAGTAAAAGAAAATGTGCTCGGAGGATACATTTTTTTGTCCCTCCAACCCTGTATAATTTATCGTGTAGCCTATTCTGAAAATTGTTTCGTGAACCCTATAAAACGCACACAGGATCGTACATTAGATCGTCACCCTACGAAAAAGTAAGTGGGCAGCCATCCTGAAGGAAAGAATACAAATTTTATAAAAAGTCTCATCCGACCGACAGTCGCGAGATATATGAAATCGATAGATTGCTTAAGTATACGTATTGCAAATAAAAAAAAAAAAGATTAAGATATCAAGGAGCCTCGGGTTATAGAAATTTGAAAATAACGTATATTTAATACACCATTGCATACGTGTCGTTTGTCCTGTTAAAAGTGCGACGTTTACATCCGCCCCCTGTATCTGTAACCTACGTGAAATTTTCGCGGTACGATAAAAGCGTCACGCTTTATCAGGGTTACTCGGTATGAAAATGTGGTCGAATCCGGGGGCGGGCCGGCGCGTGCAATAAAGTGTCTCCTGTCCAAAATGACAGTGGGACAAGTCAAAATATATACACCTCTTTCCTTCGTTCGTCGCGGCTGTCGTTCTCAGTGATTAATCGTGTAAGGGACATTCCTGGCACAACGAGCTGCGCCCAGTTCTCATCTATATAGAGACGAAAAAACCGCTTGAAATGATCGTCGTCCCCTCTTTTGCCAGGTTATATGGCGACACAGCCCGACTACATACGTCCGGACTTTTAATGTTTCCTTTTGACAAGTATAACGTAGTAGAAAACATACATGGGTACATGCGATGCGCGCGTCTATATCGCACATAGGTATATGCATGCCTGGTTACCCAGGTACACGAGTAAACAGGAAAAATGTCAACGTAACAGAAATCTTTCCGCGTCGTTGAGAATAGAGATTTTCGCGTGTGTGCTTCAATTTGCGTCAAAGGTGAATCGAGGTCGTGAGGGGGGAGAGAGAGAGAGAAAGGAATCGAATGGACCGCCGATTTCAACGTCAATGCTAAAAAGAGTCCGATTCGAATTTTCAACCGCATTGTCAACCGGGAACCAGTCCGAATGAGGTTCAATCGCCGTACTGCTACAACCGTATAGTATACCTGCTCGGGGGGTCAATAGCGAATCCCGAAGGACTATGAGGACCCAGGGACGACGACATCGACGCCGATGAATACGACGACGGTGATATAACCTGTGCTCCTTTAAATTCCCTTTACTGCCATCCACTGTCGTCCGAGATTAATGAGTAGCTCAGGACTACTGAACTCTCTTGGTATTTTACGAGAACATAGCCTGCTCTTAAGGATTCTCGACGTACGATAAATAAACCTGAGGAATCGTGGCCTTCGGCTGCTCCGATTAACGTGATATCCTACGCGATCCACCCTTTATTTCTTAATTTTAAACCGGTTTAATTTTACTCAGAGAAACTCGGAACTTCCTTTAACATCCACTTTCGCTGTACTGGGTACCTTGCGTAACTTTAATGCAAGCTCGCTCTCTTTCGTGCTTTCAGCATTTATACAGCTATGATAAATTATATGAATGTGGTATACATAGGGTGATACATAAATATCACACTAGTAATCTCACATTAAAAATACAGTTGTAAATGACTTAATATTCTAGACAGGATGGTACCTAGCGACACGTTAACTGAAGGGTTCATTCTGTGAGCTTAAGGGATGGTCTTGGTGCTTACGACAGGAATTAATGTCAAAACGGGACGCGTTTAATAAGTTCCTAGGTCGTTTGTACGTAGTCGGTAATCTCGTTGCTGTCGTATAATGTCACCATCTTTTTTGTCTCTTCCTTTTGAAGACCATGAAATTCGAGAAAAAATCCATCCCACAGGGATATAGCGGGTCTCGTATCTCTGGAAAGGTATGTGAAATCGTTAAAAAAAAAAAACGAAATCCTTAGGTGGATGAAAAAGCAGAAGGGAAAATGTACATACATATAGTATACTCCTAAGGAACGTATACGGAGACTGTAGTACGTCAGATCGAGAATAAAGTATCCACTAGATATCGGGCCATATATTTTGTGCATGCTTCTACATCCCCTTGAAGAAACAAAAAGAAAATTATTTATGTCTCTCACGGTATAAATTCACGCACATTTTGTAGTTTGTATATTTCATTCAGCAAGAAGAATACGCGATGGCCCGTGAGTTTCTTTTTTCTTCTTACCACGAAACACAAAAAGTATTCCGCGGAGTCGCTTACGCCTTTGACATCGCGGAAGTGGAAGGCGCCGTACGCCCGAGTGCCTCCTCGCAGTTATCGAGACTGAAGTAAGAAAAGAATAACGAGATGATATAAGTTTAGCCCGTTTCTCTGACGTAAGACAGAGGATCCACGACGAAGATGTAATTAGTATCCGTATGGGACTTCGTGGCGGTTGGACAAATTTTCAGCAAGTACCGCGACGACGAAGAATGCCTGGATGTCGTCCACGTTGATCGTTTTATTTCGAAAGCATTTTTTGCTCGCTGACGGATACTCTAATTCACTACGTAGAAATGTGGTTTTTCATTCTCGACGAGGAAAATAGAATGTCAGATTTTTTTCAAAGCAAGAATGACCTTTTACACGACGTATAGCGCAATCGACTTCCATTTCGACCGAACGTTCTCGCTTGGCAATTGATAACAAATGGGAAAACGTAGCAAGGATTTCTCTCTGTATTTTCATTATCCTCGCAGAAGCTGACAGATCGATGCGAACGATATCGAGGCGTAAGAGACGCTTTGAGAATACCTACTGCCTACGCGTGGCAGGACTAGCGAGATTCGATCGTCCGAGCTCCCACGGCTCCAGGAGCCACGGCTGGCAGCAGTGTCCCCACAAGTATCTCCCTCTCTCTCTCTCACTCGCCATTTCCTTTCCCCTCCTCACTGTTCTCCATTTCCTTCGTTTCGGTTTCGCTTCCTTCTTCTCTGCGCATTCGCCGAAGGTCCGGTGAGAATTAATGGACAGTTATCGCACCGAGAAATCTGAAATATCGCCGGGATGCCTCTCGAAGTCTTTTCCGTT